GATTTTTTTTTTTTTTTTTTTTTTTTTTTTTTTTTTTTTTTTTTTTTTTTTTTTTTTTTTTTTTTTTTTTTGGTGTGCTCCCTAAAAGAGAAGCCATTAATCCATGAATGAAATGGTGAGCTCCCGCATTTTGGCTACTTCTTTGTCGGACAGTTTTTGGCGTTTTCTTTACCTCTCACGAGCCGTAAAAATGGTCAAATTATGTATACCTACAAGTAAAGGATATTTGATACCTTTCCAAAAAGTTCAACAGTTTTTTTAAAAAATTATTTTATGGATCGAATTAATTTGATAAATTATATAAACCCTTATTTTTATTATTAAATAAATAAATTTATATAAGTGGATTAAATACTATTTTGACCAATATACCATTATCTTTGGTTAAATTCAATATTTTTAGCTTAATCTTATACTAAATCCTGACCGTTGGATATAAGTTCTGATTTTCTTCCAAGTTTCAAGTTTGGTATTAACTATTTTTTAGTACTATATAGTGATGTATATATTCATTCAATTTTATGTAAACATGTTTCTCAACAAGAGAGTTCTATACGCTACATATTTGAAATATTCAATTGAGTAAATTATATTTTATTTTACTTTACTTTTAATTTGCAGATAAAGTAATATTTTGTGGTTGACTCAAGAAAATAAAAGAAAATATTTTGTAGCTGCCTTGGGGAAGAAGATTATTTTGGGAGACGAGTATAATAATTAGCTCAAATAAAGAAGCGGATACTATATTAAGTAATTTAGATTATCTTATTTCCAGGCCATATCTTTATTTATTATTATTACCTAAAAAAAGCCAGAGAAGATCGTATCTTTTGAAATCTCGGTTTTATAATAAGAGATAAACACAAATTTTTAAATCAATTTTTTTTAAAAAAATTTATTAGAATTCATTAATTTATTATTATTGTTCGTAGGGAATGTTCTAGATTGCGCACGGAAAGGAAAAGTAACAGGCACAGATAGGGAAAGTACTTTAGGGAACAGCGAAAATTTTCAGAGTGAAAACTTGCTCTCGTAGGACCGGCCAAATGTCCAAAGAAGTGTTGCTGGTTCTCCACCACATGTTTCGATCTTTTTACGATTTTTTATTACTTTCAAATTATATTTTAAAGGATACTTTTCATTTTTTAATTTAATTTTTAGTAAAAAATATAAAACATCCTAATAACTCAAATAAAATTCATAATATAAATATTATACCAATGTAATTCCTCAAAATTCAATTTTCAATTACAACCTAAGCAACCAACCTCAAATAATCATGAGCAAGATATATAATAAATATTAAAATAGAAATATTTTCTAAGAAATGAATATAAAATTATTTAGATCCACATTTAGTAGCTTAAATTCTTAGTGTGCAGGTAATTTTTTTTGCATAAAACAATCAAACCAAGTCATTAAAAAAAAAAAAAAAAACAAGATTTAAACAAAATTAGCAACTAGCCAAGGACCAATGATTCAAATTATTACAGAAGTAAAATTAGAAAAGTGAAATGCAACATGTCTAAGCTCCTAATAATGCAGAAGTGCTTCAAATGCAATCAAGGAGGAAAAAGAAAACTACTTTTGAACACAATGATTTTGAACAACAGAATGCTACAAACAAGCTGATTATGTCTACTTTAAAGGCTAAAGTGGTTTGAACAAAAATCATTAGTTATGGAAAAAGAAGAAGAAGCTGCAGAAGAGAAGACTGTCTTGTCCACAAGGAAATCATCATTTGATTAAAACGCGATGATCATAATCAGTTAACAAGATTCATTAATCTGCATAATATACATGTTTATCAACCTGATTTGAATAGTAAAACTGCTTTCTGATCCAAGTAGAAGTAAACAAAGTGGTTTGTCTCGTGTGTCACATATGAACCTGCCATCCAAACAACAGAAGTTTAATATTCAGGACCATAGTTACAATTTACAAGAAAACTCCATTTTTAAAACCGTCCAATGATTCGTCAACATATCGACATTTCCACATATATGTAGGTTTCACGTCAACATAAGGGGTGAATTGATATTTTCATTATGCCGAACAAAATTAATTAAATATTAAAGAAATGGCGTTATGAATATAATATTATAACAAGCATTGCAACTCATTTATAAACTGTAAAATGTCTACTTATTAGTATGAATATCTTCTTTTCGAAGCTTTTGTTTTTAAGATTTTTCCAACGATCCATTGACATCGACATTCTAAATCTCAGTCATATTATTCATTTTAATGGTCACGACTTATAGTTGGCTTTCCATCAACTTAATGCTAAGATTATCTTGCTTCACAAAGATCACAAGATAAACTAATATCAAAAAAGATCTCCAATTTTGAACCTCGCAAAGGACCAACTTATGTCACGCCAGTCATTTCAACGACCATAGCTCATCATTTGTCTTTTGCTATGTATTTCTTGAAAAATATAAAGAAATTTATATGGAGCCATCTCGTGGTCCATTGCTAGAAAAGAGAATGGACAATCTGTAAATCGACTAAATTGAAAAAAAGGCAGATTTGAAAGAAAGGGGAATGTATAATAGATAACATGGCCTAATGGGAAGACGCTGGAATGTTTTAGAATCTCCTTACTGCTATCAGTAAACCGACACCTCACACCATTTCTCCATTATCCTCGACATGCGACATGGACAAGTCTGATGGCTTCTCAAATCCTTGTATGGGTTAAATAAAATGCACGAACAGGATTTGGAATATTTAGCTAGAAGTTCTGAAACTTGAAATGAAGAAGAGTAAGTCTAATAACTTTGCCACAGTTTGTCTTTCACTAACGGTTTGAGGATAGTATTAATCAACTAGCTATACATGTTGAAAACATTTTCATCGACACTGACCACTCGGGAGGTTTCTAGAAATATGAAGAAATCCTCTGTTTTTTCTTGTTGAATGATTTGGGATGTCTAATCTGTCCCTGGGTTCTAAATATGGTTTGGTGGCAAGAACTGAAAGCAACTTTTAAGAACTTTCAGACCTTGATAAAATTATTGAAGTAAAAAAGGAAATAAATGTGCTACGCAAACTTCACTAAATTATGGAGGTCAGAGTAGACTCTCTTACTCCATGGGACAGAAAGGGACCCTTTTCCATTATGCTGCTTGACCGTCATTGATTAGGTTGGCAACTCAAAACCGAAAAAAAAGACTTTGACAGAAACATTAATGCAACCTACCCATAAGAACCAGCTTAAAGTGTCAAGAGGGACAACTTCTTTAAGTGCCAAATAGTTTCGGTTTCTTTTTTATATCTTTTGATCCACCTATTTACAACTCGATTAATCTAACAGGACAACTATCTCAGGGAACCAACCACCTTCATAAAACTAATAGTGATCGCCTCGAAGAGACAAAAGATCAGTTCATGGTAATTCTGACTCCAAATTTCATGAAAAAAACTAAGGTCCGAGGATAAAAGGCAAAGGAATGGTTAAAACTGAGAAGAAACATTGTCATGGACCTTGGAAAGTTATTTACAATTCTAAACCAGCTCAAATCAATGAAATACAATGGAAGAACATCGTTTTTATCAAATGCAGATGAATAAATTGAAGATCCACAATCTAGGAATAGCACTCCTTTTTCTACTAAACTAGTTTAACCAGAGCAGACATTTACAATAAGAAATCTACAAGCTTAGATCTATTCCAATCAGATTTTAAAACTTCGCTAGCCAGCAGACTTAAAACCGGAAGGAAGCTTGTCAAGCAGCAAAATCACGGAAAAAAAAAAAAAAAAGCTAGAGATTAGAAAAATAGAGAGATCAGTTACCGAAATTACGACCAACAATGCAATGCCAGGTCGGTCCATGCCTCTTATCGAACTCTTTCTTAATGTACTCCGCTACATCTTTCTCTACACTATGCTTTTCAAATGCCTGTACCAAAATCCCGAATAAACTGAGGATCATAAGAAAGAACAGCAGTTCACAAATGAAATTCGTACTTGAAATTTGAACAATAGCAATCGAGAAAATAGAGCTAACAACTATGGCGATATCAACAGCCTCCTTCTGCACATCACCAAACATATCGGCACTCTTAATGACGATTTTTTTGCCTGTAGTCGCCACCGCCATCGGTTTCCGATCTTCCGAAACAGTTTTCACCATTTGATTTCCTTGAATGCTTCTCTTCGCATCGTTGCTCATTTTCTCCGCTTCTTCTCCTATCTTCGTCGATTCGGTAAGTGGATGCTCCAATAAGAGGAGCTTATCTCTGCAACCTTTTCGTTTCGAAATTTGGAATTACTTTATACTTCGACTGGTAATCGTAATTTCTCAGAATCTGAGAGGACAAAAGATTTTTAACTCTCTGGAATTTATTGCAGCTTTTGCAATCTGTCCGAATGAAGCCGTCGGTGAAATTAGTTCTCCAGTACAGCTGCCGAATACGCCGTCGTTTCGCGTCTTCGAAGAGTTAATTCAGCGTCAAAACGACCGCCCTTTCTATAGTCTACAGTTCGTTTTGCCTCCAAAAAAATAAAAAAAGGAAAATATTAAACATCACTTTTTAAAAAATTTAAAAATATTTATTAATTTTAATTGGACTGAAACAATAAATGAATTTGATTTTGTTGAAGTTAAATTAAAAAAATAAAAATAAATTTGTGAATGATCTTGAAGTATGATGAGTTTCTTAGATTACTAGTTTTTTTTTTTTTACATCTATAAAAAATAAAATTATAATAAAAAAATGAAAAAACAGATATAAATAAATATAAATATAAAATGTTACAATTTTTTTTTTATTGATTATGAATATTGAATTATTGACAAATTAAGAAATGTCCCTTTTTATTTGTT